GTATAATTGAAAAAGTGAGTTTTGCATACAAGTAAGACTGGTTAGTCAACATTGTTCTTTCAAACAGTGGCATTTAGAAGAAAAATCCTAATGGTTATTTGAATTACCCTGGTTTTAACTTTGAGTTCTGACCTAGCTGTCATGTTCACAGCATGGTTCATTTTTGTGTCGCCTCTATGGAGTAGTGGCAACATATAGGGATCATTTCTCCGTCGTCTTGTCTATCTATCCGTCCGTCACAGAACTTGTCCGGACTACTCCTCATAAACTACTGGTGCAATTTCATCCAAACTTTACAGGAATGATCAGTACCAAGTCTAGTTGTGCATATTGTCAGCATTTTCCGGTTCAATGATTTTTGTCAGAGGTATGGCCCTTTTTTTAAGTTTGTCCGGACTACATCTCTTATACCACAAATGCAATTTCAATGAAACTTTACAGGATTGATCTGTTGCTCAAGTCCTTGCACATATTGCACAGGTTTTCCGGTTGAATGATATTTTGGCAAGTTTGATGAAAAGGTGGTTTTTTTTCTGTGTGTTGCCAGATACATAAAAGCTTGTCCGGACTACTCCTCAAAAACTACTGGTGCAATTTCATCCAAACTTTAAAGGAATGATCAGTACCAAGTCTAGTTGTGCACTGTCTGTCTGTCACAAAACTTGTCCCAACATGAAATTGGCCATCATGAGGCGACACATGTGATCACTGATCGCTCTTGTTTGTTATTTTGGTGTTTTTATGCCCCCCTTCGAAGAAGAGGGGGTATATTGTTTTGCTAATGTCGGTCTGTCTGTCCGTCGGTCTGTCGGTCTGTCCGTCGGTAGACCACATGGTTTCCGCTGATTATCTTGAAAAGTATGTATCACAAAGTCTTCATATTTCACATAGTGATTGGTCATCACTAGTAGATGACCCCTATTAATTTTGGGGTCACTAGGTCAAAGGTCAAGGTCACAGGGGCTTTAAATGTCAAAATGGTTTCCGCTGATTATCTTGAAAAGTATGTATCACAAAGTCTTCATATTTCACATAGTGATTGGTCATCACTAGTAGATGACCCCTATTGATTTAGGGGTCACTAGGTCAAAGGTCAAGGTAACAGGGACCTTAAATGTCAAAATGGTTTCTGCTGATTATCTTGAAAAGTATGTATCACAAAGTCTTCATATTTCACATAGTGATTGGTCATAACTAGTAGATGACCCCTATTGATTTTGGGGTCACTAGGTCAAAGGTCAAGGTCACAGGGGCCTTAAATGTCAAAAGGGTTTCCGCTGATTATCTTGAAAAGTATTCATCACAAAGTCTTCATATTTCACCTAGTTATTGGTAATAAGAAGTAGATGATCTCTATTGATTTAGGGGTCATTAGGTCAAAGGTCAATGTCACATGGGCCTTAAATGTCAAAATGGTTTCCGCTGATTTTTCCATAATTGAACACTTCCATGTACCCATTTTTGGCAAGTTTATGTAATAAAATTATCAATTATGTGAGTCAATGGCTAGAAAGGGGCGTATATGTGTCGTTCGACATTCTTGTTTTAACATGATACCTTGACTTCTTAACTAAGTTAGATAAACTTATAATATATGAGCCACTTGTCATTTGTAAATAAATCTAGGTTTTGCAATGCAAATACATGTTCATCCCAACAGATCAAAATCAAGCCAGCAATAAATAATAATTGCCTTTGGTGTTTATTTTCTTCATTTGTAGGTGGGCTTTACTAATAGATTACTGCCACTTTACTTCAAAGTGGGGTTTTGGGGTATCATTCACCTTCAGTGATAGTTCTAGTTTTATCCAGTATAAACATGGTAACATGGAAATGAAAAATAAACCTTGTTTTTTTCAGTGTACTGCACCAATAAACTAAATATGGAGAGAAGCTTAGTCCACCAAAGCAGTCAACACCAAAATACACACAATGGCCAGGGCACTGAAACTTGGAAGAGTGAAAGAGTAAAGTAGTGCGTTTTTAGCTAACAAAGTGACATTGCGAGCTTTTGTCTATCTTTCGTCCGTAAAACTTGATCTTTAAACAACATCTCATAAATTGCCAAGCCAATTTCATGCAAACTTACGATATTGTCTAGTCAGTTTTTGTTTTGCTTGCAATCGTTATATGACATGACTAAAGACATTTAGTTTTATTCTTAAGTTATTATGTTTATGTTTGTATAAGACCCAAATATATTGTTAAGATTCATTTTTACAAATTTGAAAGCCATTATTGTTCTAGTCAGTTTTTGTTTTGCTTGCAATCATTATATTACATGGCTAAAGACATTTAGTTTTAATCTTTAATAGTTATGTCTATATTTGTATAAGACCCAAAAAATATGTTAAGATTCATTTTTTACAATTTTGAAAGCCATTATTGCTCTAGTTTGTTTTTGTTTTGCTTGCAATTGTTATATGACATGACTAAAGACATTTAGTTTAAATCTTTAGTTATTATGTCTATGAGGGGCGTCCGTGGCCGAGTGGTTAAGGTCATTGACTTCAAACCACTTGCCCTTCACCGCTGTGGGTTGGAATCCGACAGGGACTTTGGAATCTGTCTTGTGAGGAAGCTATCCAGCTAGCTTAACTGAACGTCAGTGGTTCTACTCAGATACCCGTTCGTGCCTGAAATAATGCAAGGAAGGGCATCTGAACGTCACGATATGACCTTTACTGTGTTGATGTGACGTAAAAACCCAAAACAAGCAAAACAAAAATTATGTCTATGAAATTCGTTGTTTGTATAAGACCCAAATATATTGTTGTGATTAATTTTAACAATTTTGAAAGCCATAATTGTTCGTGTCAGATATTGTTTTGCTCACAATCATAATGACATATGAGTTTAAATCTGAAGGTATTATGTCCATGAAATATGTTGTTTGTTTAAGACCAAAATATATTTTGAGATTCATTTTTTACAATTTTGAAAAGCCATTATTGGTCTAGTCTGTTTTTGCATAACACATAAAGCTATTGTTAGTATTTATTGTTATTAATAGTGATTTGTCTAAGTGGATGTCGAAGTATGTATGTTATTCCATGCCGGTTCATGTTTGAATGAAACTTTTTGTCCAGATAGAAGATTTCAAACTGTAACTTTTCTGATTTTTATCTTTTACAACAATATTATATTCCCATTTATGGTGCTAAGAAATACTGCAACATGTGCTGAATAATAGCTATTGTCAAACATTGTTTATATGCTCCCCGAAAAATTTCGGCGGACCATATAGTCATTGGGTTGTCTGTCCGTCTGTCTGTACGTACATACGAACCTGAATTCGTGTCCAGCCCATAACTTTGTTATTTCAAGTTGGATTTTAAAACTATTTCACAGAAATGCTCACCATATTGAGACGACCTGTCGCCCGCAACATTTGGTCGCTACCTTGAAGGTCCAAGGTCACACCATGACCTTGAACAAAATCATGTCCTGCCCATAACTTCGTTATTTGAAGTCGGATTTTAAAGCTATTTAAAAGTAATGATCACCATATTGAGACGATGTGTCGTGCGCAGCATTTGGGTCGTTACCTTGAAGGTCAAGGTCACAGCATGACCTTAAACAAAAATTGTGCCGGCCCATAACTTGGTTATTTGATGTCGGATTTTACAACTATTTCACAGAAATGATCACCATATTGAGACGATGTGTGGCACACACCATTTGGGTCAATACCTTGAAGGTCAAGGTCGCAACATGACATTGAAGCAAAATCGTGTCCGCCCCATAAATTTGTTATTTGAAGTCGGATTTTACAACTATTTCACCGAAATGATCACCATATTGAGACGATATGTCACATGCAACATTTGGGTCATTACCCTTGAAGGTCTAGGTCACAGCATGACCTTGAAGCAAAAATGTGTACTGCCCATAACGTCGTTATTTAAAGTGGGATTTTACAACTATTTTGGAATTATCACACTTTGAACTTTGTCTGGGACATAACCCTGAAACTTCAAAAGATATACTTTTCTGTATCTAGGATCACCCCGGTTCAACCGGCTCTTGTTTTAAATTGATTATTAAGTAATATGAACAATTCATGATAGCATCATAACTAAAGAGTGGAAATTTATGAAATCAAATATGATTATAGAATCCAGTTGCTAATAAAATGTGTGTAAAATTTATCTCTTTTTGGGAATTAATTTCTTTATTTTTACAAATTTATCAAATTTCATTTTTTATTCTACTGATATGTTTGTAATATTTCTTTTATTTTCTATTGAAAAAAATGTGTTAAACCAATATGTATTTGTTTTTCTTATAATTCAGCTAGTTTTATTATTCCAATGGTTGAAAAAATTGTTCGCCAGAACTTTACCAAAATGTTTGCCAAAATATCGCCATAACATATTTGCTGAAACTGGCAAATATGCAAATGAAGTTTGCCGCAGTGTTACCAAAAGCTTCTGGCGAACATCCGCAAACTTACTATGCAAATTGAAGTTTGCTGCAAATTTGCCGCAAACTTTTGGCGAACATCTGCAAACTTTTACCATGCAAATGAGGTTTGCGGTAAATTTGCCGCAAACAGAAGCTACCTCCCCCTATAGTTAGCGGCAAGTTTGCCGCTAACCTCATGAGTTGCGGCAAATTTGCCGCAAACCTCATTTGCATGGTAAATAATTGCTGAAAGCAGTTTGCCGCAAACTCACCGCAATGTTTGCGGCAAACTTGCCGCAATGTTCACCAGAGAGCCCTTTTTTTGGTAAGGGTATCCTTAATTTTATATAAATATACTAACAATGACATTATTTGGAGATGGATCATGACTACTTATTTTGTGCAAGATATTTAAAACAAGTGAAATCTGCAAAACACTACTAGCAGAAGCAGAAAATTTGCAAACAAAAGGTGACATTATGTAACACTACATCGCAAGGTCAAAGGCTACTGACTGTAAGTGGGAGATGAAAAGTAACACAAGTTTATTCAATTTACAATATGACAACAAAGATGACTGTTTTTCATTTCAGAAGACAATGTCGCCCTCGTAACAGGATCTGCAGTGAAAATACCGGAAGGGGCAGAACCTTTACCACCAAAAGGTTTTATTTTGATATAGAATTTTACACTGAAAATTAATATTTTGACGGTTGATAAAACTTAACTTTACCGCGACTGTATGAACAGTATCAACATTGCATTGAAAACAACATTAATCCATTTTTTCTGTACCTGATTTTATTTATACGGTATTTTTTTTTATAAATACCACAAAGACAAAGAACATGCGATATTACCATTTATCAGAAATTATTGAACGGAAGCCGACGGCGTCTATGACATTCGACAATACGTTAGAGTGACAATCTTTCAAATAGAGGATTAGCTATTTCTTGGATATTTTAATTGCTTTCGAAAATTAACCCTTCATTTTGTGATAAGGCCTGCAAAGGGTTATGGCAACAAACACAACGATTGCAACTTACCTGTAACTTAATCTCAAAATTAAAGTTGAATACTTTTTATTTCAGAAGACACTTTCGCTTTAGAAACAGATTCCGCAGAACAAATACCGAAGAAAGCTAAATCTTTACAAACAACAGGTTACATTTTATATAAAAATATAACGAAATCATTTAGAAATCATATATATTCTATAGGAATAAGCTTTCACTTACGTTGAATTGAGAGATCTTTCATAACGAACTATTTGTATGCTACATATTTGAAACAAATGGAATCTGCTAAAACCTACTACTTGAAGCAGAACCTTTACAAACAAAATGCTATGTTATGTAACGATTCCACGCAAAGTCAAAGGCTCAAAATACTGGTTGTAAGGACTGAAGATAAAATGTAAAATGTAACACAAGTTTATACAATTTACAATATGACAACAAAGTTGAATGTTTTTTTTTATTGTAGAAGATAATATCGCCCTGGAAACAGAATCTGCAGTTCATTATACCGGAAGGTGCAGCACGTTTACAAACCAACAGGTTTTATTTTAATATAGAATTTTATAATAAAAATAATTATCCAATATGTTATTCTGTTTCTATCAGGACTGATCCAGGAAACTATAAAAACTGTCTGTACCTGAAAAAGCAGAGCCTTTAGAAACAACAGGTAGCAATTTAATGTGAAGTTATATCGTCAACATTTAGATAAAGTCTATCTAATAGGAATTCTCAATTACAATACTGTAAGACATGAAACAAATATTGATATAAGGGTCCAGAAATATGAAAAGTGTCAAAAATTGATCAGGCAGCATATATTTGTTTGACGATTGATAAAATATTTTATTTTGAATACGACAAAGACAAAGAACATGCGATTTTGACATTTAACATAATTCGATTCATCAATACGTTACAGTGACAATCTTTCATAGAGAATTACTCAAGATCTGGAATATTTTGTTTGTTTTTTCGAAACAGACCCTTCATTTTTGGGATATTGCATGTAAAATGGTATGGCAAAATTACACATATGTTTTCACCCTACCTATAACTAAATCTAAAAATCTTAGTCGATTATTTACTATTTTAGAAAACACTGTCGCTTTAGAAGCAGAATCAGCAGATAAATTACCGAAGGAAGCTGACCCCCTACAAACAACAGGTTACATTTTATATAGAAATATATCGAAAGCATTTAGAAATCCTATTTTCTTTAAAAATATACTTTCAATTAAATTGATTTGAGAGATGGATCATAGCCAACTATTTTATGCTAGATATTTAAAAGAAAAAAAATCTGCAAAAACCAACTAGAGGAAGCAGAAAAAATTCGAAAACAAAAGGTTATCAACGTAAAAATTAAAGGCTCCAAATAGCTCGTAACCGTAAGGGGAGATGAAAAATATGACACAAATTTATGCAATTTGCAATATGACAACACAGTGAATGTTTTTCATTTCAGAAGACAATGTCGTCCTGGAAACAGGATCTGCCATAAAAATACATGAACGGACAGAACCTTTACAACCAACAGGTTTACTTTTATATAGAATTTTGTAAAATCATATAATTATATCCAATATATTATTCTGTTGATATCAGGAATAATCAAACAACAGGTAGCAATTGAATGTGAAGTTATAACGACAACATTTAAATGAAGTCTATCTAATAAGAATTCTCAATTATATGTCTGTAGAGATGAAACACATATTGATATAAGGAGTTATCTCGAAACTATGAAAAATGTCCAAATTGATCAGGCAATATATATTTGTTGATATGACGGTTGATGAAACTTAACTTTAACGCGCCTGTATGAACAGTATCAACATTGCATTGAAAACAACATTATTCCATTTTTCTGTACCTGATTTTATTTATACGGTATTTTTTATAAATACCACAAAGACAAAGAACATGCGATATTACCATTTATCAGAAATTATTTAACGGAAGCCGACGGCGTCTATGACATTCGACAATACGTCACAGTTACAATCTTTCAAATAGAGGATTAGCTATTTCTTGGATATTTTAATTGCTTTCGAATATTAACCCTTCATTTTGTGATAAGGCCTGCGATTGTAACTTACATGTAACTTAATCTCAAAATTAAAGTTGAATACTTTTTATTTCAAAAGACACTTTCGCTTTAGAAACAGATTCCGCAGAACAAATACCGAAGAAAGCTAAACCTTTACAAACAACAGGTTACATTTTATATAAAAATATAACGAAATCATTTAGAAATCATATATATTCTATAGGAATAAGCTTTCACTTACGTTGAATTGAGAGATCTTTCATAACGAACTATTTGTATGCTACATATTTGAAACAAATGGAATCTGCTAAAACCTACTACTGGAAGCAGAACCTTTACAAACAAAATGCTATGTTATGTAACGATTCCACGCAAAGTCAAAGGCTCAAAATACTGGTTGTAAGGGCTGAAGATAAAATGTAAAATGTAACACAAGTTTATACAATTTACAATATGACAACAAAGTTGAATGTTTTTTTTATTGTAGAAGATAATATCGCCCTGGAAACAGAATCTGCAGTTCATATACCGGAAGGTGCAGCACGTTTACAACCAACAGGTTTTATTTTAATATAGAATTTTATAATAAAAATAATTATCCAATATGTTATTCTGTTTCTATCAGGACTGATCCAGGAAACTATAAAAACTGTCTGTACCTGAAAAAGCAGAGCCTTTAGAAACAACAGGTAGCAATTTAATGTGAAGTTATATCGACAACATTTAGATAAAGTCTATCTAATAGGAATTCTCAATTACAATACTGTAAGACATGAAACAAATATTGATATAAGGAGTCCAGAAATATGAAAAGTGTCAAAATTGATCAGGCAGCATATATTTGTTTGACGATTGATAAAATATTTTATTTTGAATACGACAAAGACAAAGAACATGCGATTTTGACATTTAACATAATTCGATTCATCAATACGTTACAGTGACAATCTTTCATAGAGAATTACTCAAGATCTGGAATATTTTGTTTGTTTTTCGAAACAGACCCTTCTTTTTCGGATATTGCATGTAAAATGGTATGGCAAATTACACATATGTTTTCACCCTACCTATAACTAAATCTAAAAATTTTAGTCGATTATTTACTATTTTAGAAAACACTGTCGCTTTAGAAGCAGAATCAGCAGATAAATTACCGAAGGAAGCTGACCCCCTACAAACAACAGGTTACATTTTATATAGAAATATAACGAAAGCATTTAGAAATCCTATTTTCTTTAAAAATATACTTTCAATTAAATTGATTTGAGAGATGGATCATAGCCAACTATTTTATGCTAGATATTTAAAAGAAAAAGAATCTGCAAAAACCAACTAGAGGAAGCAGAAAAAATTCAAACAAAAGGTTACAACGTAAAATCAAAGGCTCCAAATACTGACCGTAAGGGGTAGATAAAATATGACACAAATTTATGCAATTTGCAATATGACAACACAGTGAATGTTTTTCATTTCAGAAGACAATGTCGTCCTGGAAACAGGATCTGCCATAAAAATACATGAACGGACAGAACCTTTACAACCAACAGGTTTACTTTTATATAGAATTTTGTAAAATCATATATTTATATCCAATATATTATTCTGTTGATATCAGGAATAATCAAACAACAGGTAGCAATTGAATGTGAAGTTATAACGACAACATTAACATAAAGTCTATCTAATCGGAATTACATTTCTGAAAAAGATGTATCGTTTATTAGTATAAGGAACTACATCATGAAAAACTGTAAAAATTTGATCAGCCCAAAATATATATTTTTGTTTTTGAAAATCGAAAAAGATTTTTTTAAACCCCCGGGGGCCCCCGAAAAAAATATAAAAAATTGAAATTGAAAAACAAAAAAAAATTTCCCTTTTGTTACTTGGGAATTTTTTACTTTTTTTTGGGTGGGAAAATGCCACAAAGCCCAAAAAGAACATGGGATTTTGGGGACATTTAACTTAAATAAATTTTAAGGGGGAAAATTTCCCGGCGTAAAATGCGTCTATGACGTACGACAAAACATTTCAGGCGCCCTTTTAGGGAATAATATTCAAATGTAGAATTCAATTGATGTAAACAAGAAGCATCGGTTCATAAGTCAAATAATTTTGTAGTGTCTATGTGCAAAGCTTAAATCATTTTAGTTTCAGATGCGTCATTTGTTGTAGAACCGAAGCGTATTCCGCGTGTAAGAATTTCCGGGTTAATGGAAAACACAAATAATGAGATGCTTGTATATATTTGTTAAAATGGAAGCAGTTGTGAAACACAAGGACATGATAGGCGCTGCGTATAAGTAAACCCCAACAAATTAAGGGGGGTGGGTATACTAGTGTCAACTTGACAATCTGCATTTGGTCTGCAATTCAAAGGAAGAAACAATTGGCGTTCGAAATATTTTTTTATGTTTGCTTTAACTACTCTGCAACAGGATCTTATAGCTAGTTTGCCGGCTGGTATAATCCAAAACAATCCGTGCTTAAATAGGGTGAATTGTGCACCTCTTGTGATAATAATTAAACTAGGCAAAGTTGTTTGGTTAATGGAATACTTTTCATTTATCCCTGGGATCCAAGTTTTGAAAATCCAATATTGCCACAAAAATCCAAGATGGCCGCTATATAAAATTTTTCAGAAAACTATAGTTTCAGTTGTAGTCATAACTAAACTAGTATGAAAATAGCACCAAATTATTATGTTGAATAGTTATTTGTATTTTAGCTATTCCAATGATTTGATATGAAACTATTTCAATGATTTAATACGTAGTGATCTTTTATTTGGTGTGCAAAAGTTCAAGGAATGGTATAAAACCTTTTGTATATTTTTACCAACAGCTATGCCATTTCTCATGAAAAGAGTCACTTCATAACAATTTTAGAGAATTGAAGTGTATGAAGTGTGTTTTTGAAGAAAAAAATAGAAAAATATAACCCAAAACTACTTGAACTAGTATGTGTTCCGAGTCTAAGTGACAGCTTTTAAAAAATTGTTTCTGGAATTAATTGCAGAAAATGTCAGAAATATTGGTATCTCAACAAGATCCGCATCGTCATTTTATACCCAATTGAACAATTTGAAGTATTGTTGTTCAATGTTATAAACTTAAACTGATCAGTATAAAACAAGTAGAAATAAGTCATTATTCATGATAACCACATATTAATCTAGTAAGGAAAATATCCATTTAAGGTCAATAAAGTTTTATCGATATTAGAAGGATTTAGAGGAGTTTAAATTAACTATCAAAATAAAAACAAAAATGGTTGAGTAGATGACAATTGAACTATATTGACTTTCAACAAAAAATAAAACACATTAATATAGCTAAAGTAAGCATAATTTCAATAGGCCAAATTTTCTGTACTTTTATGACAGATGCGGAAAGAAGTAAACAAACCAAAATAATTTATTCTAATTAAACAATAACCGCATTTAAATTTATAATGTGCTTAATTTTTTTCTTAGAAATTCAAAACACTGATATACTCGTATAAAAGCAGCTATTTGTAATATCAGGAAATATATATGATACTTTCCTGCGCTACTTTGTACGTAAATGCGCTTTGTGACCCTATTTTTGATGTTATTATTGTTATTTCTATTGTTTGACGTATATAACTTATAACAAACGGAGAAAAAAAGACACAACGATGTAGTAATTTATCAAATGATATACGATATTGGTGCCGTGACTTAAAAAAATGAACCTACAGAAGTAAATTTTAGTGCGTAGAGGCAATAAAAGCGTTATGTTGAAGCTTTTGGGCAAAATCGAAGACCCAAAGGAGAAATCAGACAAAATAGAATTCAATTCTTTTCCGGAGGCCCTCGAATCGAAGACAAATACTTTAGATGCACTCGCTGAGAAGTTTCTATCTCAAACTGGAGTCTAGGATGTCGAAAAGGAACTCGTTCCCACTGAATAATATAAGCTAGAACTCGAGATTCAGTTACGGAAACTTAGAGCATATCATCAAATGAACTCCCAGACGGACGGTCGTACGAGTGAAAGTACCAAGAATCCTGAAGGAATTAGTCATATAAGAGCAGACGATATGGAGGAGAACTGAACTCTACTGATGGAGCAGACGGTGGTGAGACCGGAAGTCGTATCAACGTTCTACTTCCGGAAGGAAATATTCACTTTGCTTCACAGAACAACCTCTTGTATGTCGGTTACTTCACAGTACCATAAGTTACCTAAACCTTAATAACTGATTTAATGGTGAAATTTTAGCTGATAGGCATTTTGGGACTCGTTTGAGTTAACCGTTTATCCCAATTGTAACTTGACAGCTGTGCAGAGAAATTTTAATATTTAAAAGAGCAGAGCTGCATTACTGGTACTGGTACTGGTACTGCAGTACGTACTGCAGCGATTTTGCAAGTACTGGTACTGATAACTGAATTACTCTTAACAAATTTTTTGCTACTAACTGGTACTGGTACTGCATTACTGTCTTAACAAAGTGGTACTGCTACTGCATTCCAGTACTTTTTGGTGTTGATAAAAATTAAAAATAACATCAATTTTTCTCATAAAATAAAGCTGTAAATTACATTAACTATATTTTATTTTTTGTGAAAAGTAAGTTATCAAATCTAAAGATAAATTTTGCTGCAATATTCCTTCAAATGTAAACATAATTTTTCCCACATAAAAAGCACCAAAGACTTTAAGTAAAAATTAGATTAAGATAACAGACTCAATAACTCTTTACCCTAAAATTCCTTATTAAAAATATTTTATTACTTTGTATTTACTAGTAAAAGAGCAAATAAACACTAATTAATTTCTTCAATTCTAAAAAATCTCAATTTCAAGTGAAAAAAGTGATATTGTTAGCACCATAAAAAGTTGTTATTTACTTTGGTATAAATTGAACAGTGGTGTGAAGGTGTGAAAGGCAACAACAGACTGTTGTGTTTTAAATGAAAGATGTTGCATTGTATTTATACAGTTGACTGGTTACTAAACAATTAGATATGACATGAATATATGTTGTAAATATTGTTTGTAAAAAGTATGTTAAAAATATAAAATTGTAGATATGTTGTTAACTTTAAAGCAGCATGCTCCAGATTCATCCTAATTTTCATGAAAATTTTGAAAATGTATTTAAAGGTAAAATATTGTTAAACGAACAAAGAAAGTACTTGACACATTACAATCGGCACTTAAAATCCACGTAAATTACCAAAAAAAGGTCAAAAAATGCATAAATAGCCCCTACTGCGTTAGTAACGCAGTAGAAATATGGTGATAAATACTACAAAATACAGTCATTAATTGCACATAAGATATAAATTATCACTTGAATCTTTAATTAGCTTACTTTTCTCAAAGTTTTAGTATTTTTTTTCCAAGTTTAATTTTCTTGAAATAGTTTTGGTCATCTGGAGGCATGCAGCTTTAAAATTATGATTTTATTTCTTTGCTGAATAATATTTGCAATTATTTGTTCGACACTGTATTAATTCAGATGAATATATAAAAGTAATGGTACTGATACTTAATTACTTCACCAAAAAAAGTACTGGTACTGCAGTACCCAGCTAAAATCTAGTACTGGTACTGGTAATGGTACTGCATAATTTGCCAAGTACTGGTACTGGTACTTAAGTACTACACCCTTAGTACTGATGCAGCTCTGTTAAAGAGTCAGCTCGAAGTTGAAACAGATAGGACTTTTGCTGGTTTTGAACTTACATATTCAAACTATGCATGCGCGACAGAACTGTTAAAAGAGAGATATTGCCAAAAGCATAAATAATACATGCAACAATGCAAGCATTGCTTCAACACCCAGCCCCCAAAAATACATTACATTAAATTCGAGGATTCTATGATAAAATGGAGACATACATTCGTGTTAAAATTCCCGAGAGGACACGATGACAGTAATTGGTTGCTATGTGACTTACGTAGAGCTTTTTACAACGAAATTAACATAAAGTGACCCGGATCATACACTTTCTGTAAGTGGAAATATACAAATCTACTGTACCATTATTCACTGGGACAAGAAGTACCAGGAGTTCGAACAGTTCACATGTGCCACGAAGTGGAATTAAGCGCGCGCTTTGCTAGGAAGCCCATAGAGCCAGAGATGACCGGTTGTATCCTGACGTAGCGTCAAAGTTAAGTGTTGTTTAAGAAAAAAACAAACTGTGTTTTAAATGTTTCAGGAAACACCAAGTATTCACGTATAAGTCAACCAAGAGATGCCAGAATTGTAACAGAAAGCACCACACAACTACATGTAAAATATGATAAACAAGATCAACAAGGAAAGGCGGCGTTCAATAAACGCAACCCCCATATGACCCAGCAACAAGAACCAATGGCAAGGAGCCCAGGCGGACCCCAAACAAAAACAGGACAGGGCAAAGACAGAGCACGGACAGGTTAATCATTAAATGATAAATAATTTGTAACTGATTAGGAATTCAAAGAAAATAATAATAGGCCCACAAAGGGGAAGGGGACAGGAGACCGGGGGAAGGTAGTCTGAAAGCGGGCGTAAGTCTGAAAGCGGGCGTATTTCTAGTGCAAAAGTTCTACACAACAAACATAACATATTAAGCTACAGTGATGTATTCCTCCGCATATCAATTTAGATCCGGGGTTTTGCTTAAGAGAGCAATGGCAGATGTTTGTTCATAGATATATGTAGGCCAGCAACCGTTCATAGATATATGTAGGCCAGCAATCATACTTTTGTAGAAGGAGCTCAAAGAAGTTATGGCGCAGAAACTCGAGCAGAAGAGCTACAATTACAGGGGGAAACATCAGAAACAATCCGGATATCTGCGTTTGGGGGTAGAAGTAATCATATGCAACATTTTGACCAAGCTGCAGTGTATCTTGTTGCAGACAGAAGACAGAATATACCACTGAAAGTACTGATTTCCCGACTATATCGACCCCTACAGATAACACATATTTCAAGTTTGCATTACCTTAAAGGATTAAAATTGCCACAACCAGTAACGCATGGCAAAGAGTTTGCTATTCCCTTGCTAATCGTAGCCGACTTTTACTGGAAAATTGTTAAGGACGAGACTATTCTTGGCACAGGGCCTACTACCGTTAAGTCGAAAATCGGATACTTTCTGTCTTGACCGAGCAATTCAAGAAAAAGTAGCAGAATGTTTAACAGATTCGGAACGTGATTATGTCTCACATATCAGAGGACATATCGATAGAACTTTTCTGGAGTCTTGAAAATCTTGGAATCACACCAAATGATACAGACCGGAAGTTACATTACGAAAGACAACAATATCAGCTGACGTTGATCGAATTCAAAGTTGAAAAGTACATGGAAAACTGACCACCCGGAACGACCTACAAATTATGATATTGTCCTTAAATCTATAAAAGCACAGTTCGAAGATTAAATAGAGAACACAATATGCTGAAAAAATATCGAGATGTCATTGCAGAACAAGAGAGGCGAGGGTTTATTGAAAAAGTTCAAGAGAAAGAGATCCAGATGACAAGGCCAATCCATTACTATCCACATCACCCTATTAAGAAAAATTTCCCAACTACGCCTATAAGAATTGTAAACGACTGTAGCTGCCGTAAAACGCCACACCATGCAATCCTGAATGATTGCCTACAGTGCTCATCCCCAATCTTCAGAGGAATGGTTCGGTTCGAGCAGCTGAAATTTGCTTTAGCAATGGACTGTACGCTACCAGACCGATTGTGAAACATTATCCACTCGAAGTAATAGACACATAGACAATAGAGACTGTGATAAGCAAAATGTTTTGATAAGATAGACTTCATTAATTGTCAAAATTATCCAAGGTTTTATAGAGAGTTTAGAATAGTTCACTGAAAATAATTCAAGACTACCCTTTCAAATGCCTTGATATTCATTAAAACAATCAAAGAGCTGTATACACCGCATCAACAGAGACTTTCAGATTAAAATAACGAACATTTCCTAATTCAGTAATACATGTACATTTCTATTTAACCAGATTTATACATTGATAACATACGTGCAATTTCATGTGCTATTTATTGTTTTTCGCGGCCGAAAGATGTCGTAGATTTACATTAATTTATACTTCCCCGCGCTACTTTGTACGTAAATAACGCTCTGTGACGTCATTATAGTTGTAATGATTGTTGTTATTATTGGTTTTACGTGCATAACTTGTAGTAAACCGAGAAAAGAAGACACAACGTTGTAGTACTTAATCAACTAATATACTAGAATGGAAGGCTTTAATTGGCCTTTTCACTGCAATAAGATATGAAAAGAAGATTAGAACTGATTAACTAAAAAGCCAAGATTTTCTTATAGCTCAATACTTTGCTGATTTTCTGATTTATCTTGCAAAAATGATGACACAAATATAGCCTGATTTCGTTATCTATGACACAAAATAGTCTGCTTCAATTACCAATGAAAAGGAAATGCAGCTACAGTAAACTGACAACTTTAATTTTATTGTTTTGAAAAGATCCTATTTTGTTGGTTCTGTAAAATTGAAGGTGTGGGGTTTTGTCTACTTTGTAAAATTGAAGGTGTGGGATTCTGTACACTCTATTTAATTTCGAGGTGTATGGTTTATACGTGTGGGTTTTTTGTCCGTTTGTAGCACATCTTAGCTTGCTTGACTGTTCTCAGTGCTGGATATAGTTAAACAAGTAGCTTGATAAAAAAGAACTTTGTTTATCAAAAGAGCCATAACCAAAATGCCAAAATCGATAATAAATGTTTAGGGAACTTAAACCACTACTTTCTATTACTATTTCTATCACTCGATACCTTAACCATTCTGTGACCAAGTCGCCTTTTATGTACACTATCGCTCTCAATTCTTCGAATTGTCGAGCTTAAACGCACTTACATAGTTTAATCCATAAGTACATGTTTTTTTGTCCGTGAATAGACACCTGTCTGTTCAGTTTTTAGCAGCAATTTTAAGTTTATTAGTGAGTTAAATACATACAAAGAGTGTTGATCATTTGTATTTTCTTTCTCATGCAAATTTGTCAAAAAGAAAACATCGTTACATGGCGGCCATCTTGGATTTTAAAGTCATATTGCATTTTCTACCTAGTCTACTAAAACATTTTTTCTATGAAATTACTATTATTGACCTAAAATATCAGTTTTAATCATTTTGATGTCATGCATACCTCAATTTTGTCATGTACAACATATATTGTATATTTTCGCGGCTATCTTGGAGTTTGGTGGCCTTTTTGGTGTTTTTTAAAAAGTGGATCCCAGACTGAAATAAAATAAAATACTATTTCCTGCCACCATACCAAGTTTTATGCTTTGCACAAAAGGCGCACAATTAGTTCACAAATTAAATTGTACCCATTTACAAAACCGAGTATGACTGCAGTACTCAATAAATATGACTCTAGTGTAATAGTAGGATTCAATCAAGAAGCGGACACATTTTGAATACCAATTCAATCAAATATCAATTTCTAAACGCTCTTTTATAGTTGTTTTTATTTCATGCGATATCTTTTAGGACAACGTACGTTCAAATTCAATTGTTGTATTTCTACGTAATAGACACACAAGAATTCAAAGTTTGTATTTGAGTATATTTTATTTGTAAACTCCTATTGTAAGACCCTATCCTGCAATAACAGACTGCAAAGATAGTGCTCTTCATTTACTATTTTGAAAAAGTAAAGGTCTTGTGATAAGTTCCAGTTTTAATTTTCAATTACAAATTATCTTTAAACAGATAAATTTCAATAACTATTAAAAATAACTATTATAATATTTCTGAAATTATAGTGTGAAAAGTTTATTGTTCTGTCATTACAATAGTGTACGCCTCTTTTGAAAACGCTTTATAATTTATTGCATGAAATGTAAAATACTTAACAAGTTATATTTTTTTACATGTGCAGACATCGACCCTACAAGATTTGATGACAACAAAAATGATTCTTCACAAAATAACGGTATGTTGATTTATGATATATTTAGAGCATAGAACCCGCTTTTGAAATTTATGTTTTGATTATTATAATAGTCTACTTTAGCTATATTTCATTGTTGGCAATATGAAATAATCAATTAATCGTCAGCTTCTTAAATGAAAGCACTCGGCAATCTGTAGTGCGTGTTATTCACTTTGATACATTCATTAAATGGCATTGTTGCTCAAATATTTGCAAAAAGTGTTCTTAAGGTGATTGTCTACATTTCACATAATTATATTATGCTTATCGGGGACAAGCATCCTAAAAGTAACAATTCTTCCGATTTTGTATTATTTAAAGAAAATATCTATTGGTTTCTTACATGTCAAATAATTTCTCTTAAGTTGAGCACTTTAATTCCAAATTATTTCAGAGGATATCAAGAAATATCACCGACAAGCATGCATGGATTCATGTGCTTCAGATGTTGATTAAAGTTTATTGATGTGGTTCTCTGTTGCCTTTTTAAGAGATTCTCAATATCAATTTTATAATTTTGTAAAACAAACTGCCATTAGGAATAAATCATGACTCCCTAGATTGATTTACGGATAAATGGATGGAAAATGGAAATACTAGGAAATCTTTTTCACTAGTTATAAAATGAATTAATTCATAATTATACATAAAATACTTCAGCATGTCACATTGTATGAGCAATAGCTTTGATACCTGCTAAGTCATGTATTGTGTAAACATGGAACTTAAATGCCAAAATATATAATTATTATATACCAATCTACAAATTGAAAACTACAACATAACTTTGATTTAAACTTTGGATAATCTTTGACATAATTACTTTCTAAAAGCAATGTAGTAATTGAATTGCAGGTTTCAGACTTAACTGCATGTTGAAATAACCAAAACGTATTTGAAATGAAATTGTCACTTAGCTGAAAACAATCAAGGTACACTTCTTGAGGGATTTAAGGCGATATTACTGATAGACTTAAAAAAGGAGATGAGTATATTATTTAAGGGGTATTGTGGTATCATCAACATGAATAATGAGAAAAGTTATAAATATTTCCCCAATTTTTTTTTTTTTTTTAGAAAATGACGATTCTAACCCTGTCGAAAATGACATTGAAATGCCGGATTCTGCAATGTCAAAAGGTAATAAAGCTGATTTTGTTCTGTTTAAAGTAATCTCTATTGTTACATACTATCATGTCATATTTCACCCACTACAAATAACTGTGATGCTATCAAGTAGTGTTATTATAATAATCTACTTAACCTTTTACCCCATGAGCATATTGCGAAAAATGGCAATTTTTCACTGAAAAGCCTCCTGTAACAAGTTCAAACTGCTATGAAAGTATGAAAAATGCTTCAATACTAATGAAACTTGACACAAATGTTGACTACACCATAGCCTTTGTAACGGCATGCTCAATGGTAAATTTCCTGTTACCATGGCAACGGGGGGACGTCTCAAAATTGCCAAAAATCACTATTTTGCACTGTTTTTTCATCAAAAATGATTTCAAAATGCCGCAACTTCTCAATGAATTGAGATAGAGTAAAAGGCTTTTCAGCGTCAGTTACCACCTACCCTAAGATCGACCTGAGGCCATTTTTAGCCTGTCACATGTCCAAAATTTTCTTGGAGATAAGGGGGACTCCGCCCCCCTTCACACCCCCGAAACAGAAGGGGGCGCATCCCCCTTCTGGCAACCCCCTGATGTAATATTTGGATGGGGAACGGCGCCGAAAAAGTGGTCACTTTTTTAACAACATTTCTCAAACGAAAAACAGTGTTTGGGGCCTAAATATGGCATTTTTCACTGTTTGAGGCCTCAAAAAAGGGGGATGGGCATAATGCCGTCGAAACACGCTTATATAAGGGAAAAGGTTAAGCTATTTTTCATATTTGGTAGTAAAAAAAAATTACAATAAATAAACATATCAAGACAAATTCCTTTTGACATAAGCAATTCAGATGATATAGAACTATCAAATTTTCTAATCTGTTATTTTCTGGATGGCCATGATGTATTGTATTTTCTGAATCTTAATTTTAATTGTCATCTTAATCCGTAACTTAGACGTCGTTCGCATTTGCTCTTAACCAGATCTGCCCAGAATAACATATAAGGTCAGTGGTTTTAATTTTAGCAGCTTCTACTGAAACTGAAGGCCAGACTTTTTACCAAATACTGCAAAGGCTTGGACTGACAGACAAATTTCCTGGTAAAATATCTATGCGAGATGTCATAGCAGTTGATCCAAACGAAAGCATTGAGCAGATAAATGATAAGTTATCATTTACTGATATTCCTTGGTTGGTTCTGAAACGACTGATGTGTGCTCATAGTGAATCTAGAGACATCAGAGTGCCAGAAGAAAAAAATAATGAAGATAGTTCTAACTTTGAGGACTCAATATCTTGTTTTTCGGAAATACTAGATGTCAATGAAGACATCAGTCCACTAGATATATTCACTGTTGTTTTTCAATGTTGTGATCCATTTTTGAAACAAATATTTGTTCAGAAACAATATCTTTGCAAACTTGCTGTACCTTTTTTGTATAGGAATTGGGACACAAACCAAAAGTACTGCCCAGTACTCTCTGTTTGGCCATTGCGTTCCCTAGCCATAGAAAGTAAAAGTAATGCCAATAAAAATGAAATGCAGGGTAGGGAAAGTGATGTCCTTGATCTTCAAACAAAGGTGGTAGCATTTGGAAGGTTAGGTCGCCCTCGCTATTCCAAATCAAAATTGATTAATAGTCTTCTTTCAGGTCAAGGTTGTAAAACGTTTTTTAGTATTGACTGTCCCTCTGGAATGACACCAAGGCAACTAAGTAATGGACAGGTTGAAATGTTTTGGTTGCCTACCATCGATGAAAGAAAGGATAGATTTCAGGATGCTATGACATTTTTTAACTTGAGAGGTGATCTAGGCCAAGACTTTAGTCAAGACATTTCATATTTCATCTCACACTTAATAGACTCTATTGTAATTATCATTGACTTAAATACAGTTTTGGTTCGAAGTAAGATGGTTGAAGACATTCTTCTTCAATTTTCCTCAGTCATTTTGATAATTGCAGACCCTTTAAACCGTGATGAAATTAAACGTGTACAAAGCTTACAAAGTGCTGTAATATCATCATCAAAATCAGCAATCAAATTACGAATAGAAAGTACACATAAAGGAACTGTTGAACAGAACGTGGTTGACATGCTATCAAGTATAACAAAAACAATTTCAAATCAGCTGAAAACAAATAAAACAATGTCTTTAGAAGACAGATTGTCAAGTGCAAAAGTAGCAACGGTTAAATTGGACGAAGATGATCCGGTTTGTCAACAAGGCATGCAGGAAGCTACTGTATTGATCAAACAACTGAGGAAAGAAGGTAACGGTGAACCTTGTGGTTTGAAACAACGCTTAACACCTGTCCATGGGAAATTAACAAAGCAATTAGGAAAACTTTTAAAAGAAAGAGAACGAGAGAGAGTCCGTACAGAAGTAGACAATATTGATAATAAAATTAAAACAGTGAGACGAGAACAAATAGAATCGATTACAAAATCTGTTCGATGTTTTCTTGACATTCTTATTGAAAACAACGGTTCCCCCTTAGTAATTGAATATTTTCTTTGTTGGTTACATATTTTTATTGAAAGAGAAAAGCGGCAAATATTACCCCGCTTGATGCATGCAAATCGAAGTGCATGGGAAAAACTAAAAGCACTTAAAAGTGCTAAAAATCAGGTTAAAGAGGAAATAGAAAATCAAGAAACTACTATAACCGATCTAGAAAAAAATATAGATGATGCATCATTTGCAGTTCAACATTTCTTTCGTGAAATAGGTCACATATATGAAGCTATTTTAGAACTTAAAGAAGACACAGAAAAATTGAGATTGCCAAATGTACACCAAATATCAAGTATTATAGCTCGTCTTGTTGCTCATGGACACCAATTAGAGCTAATTGATGGTGAAAGCTTTTATATGCCTTACAATTGGATAAAAACAGTCCTGCAAAAGGTTGACATATGTATTGAGTCCAGTAAAGTTATGACACTAGGCGTTTTAGGTCTACAAAGTTCTGGAAAGTCAACTCTATTGAACACGATGTTCGGATCTCAGTTTCCATCAAGAACCGGTAGGTGCACTAGAGGAATACATGTTCAGCTCATTCCTACAAAAAATGAAACAATGTGCAATTTTTCTTCCGTGTTTAGCTATGTACTTATTGTGGACACAGAAGGCCTTAGGTCACCTGACTTAAATCATATGCAGCATGAACATGACAATGAATTGGCTACTGTAATAACCGGTGTAGGTGATATCACAATGTTAAATATAATGGGAGAAAATACGAGCGAAATACGGGATATTCTGCAAGTGATTGTCCATGCCTTTCTGAGATTGAAAATGACAAATCAAAAATTAGATATCAGGAAAAGTTGCGCATTTATACATCAAAATGTCACTGACACGTCCGCATCAGAAAATATGGTAAGTGGATTAAGCAAATTGATACAGACTTTGGACGAGATGACAAGCGAATCGGCGAGAAGTGAAGGAATACTTGATATTACTACCTTTAACCAGGTTATTGAATTTGATATTAATAATCAAGTCTGGTATCTGAAGAATTTATGGCAAGGGAATCCACCTATGGCGAGAGTAAATAATGAATACAGCGAAACAGTAGAGGATATAAAATGCAAAATTTTGAAGAAGGCTTTGACAATGAAGAACAAATCTTACAAATCATTAAACGATATAATTGAACAAGCACATAGTTTATGGAAGGGTGTTCTCAATGAAGATTTTGTTTTCTCTTTCAGAAATAGCCTTGAAATAAAGGCTTATATGGAAATGGAGTCGTTTGTTCAGGCTGAACTTTGGCGGCTTGAAAGCCTTACTCGTGATAAATTAATACAAACTTCTCAAAACGGCTTTGCTTCATGTGATCAAAACGAAAAGTTGCGAACAGTGGCAGATGATCTGAAAAGCGAACTTGATGAATGTCTTTTTAATGAAAAAAACAAAACTGAAGCCAATATTGAAACATATTTTGAGGGAAATAAATATAAAGACATCATTATTCAATGGAAAAATATTCAGCAAACCCGTGTGACCATGCTTTGTGAAAAACTACAACAAATCATTGAAGAACATGTCGAAAAAAGTCAAATGAAAAGATCATTAGAAATCTTGACAGTTACATGTCAAGGAAAGCATGAAGAGGAGCTTAGAAAAAGATCGATGGAAGTTGCAAATCAGTACAAAGGTCTCCTAGATAGCGATAAAATAAATCAGCTGTTTAATAAAATTTGGGACACATTTCTCATAAAGGTTCATACTTCTCCAACAAGTACAGAGAAACGCAGACAAAAAATGAAAATCATATTTCGAACATGCCTTGACACTAAATTTTTTAGAGAAAATCACGCTTTGCTTAAGGAAGCTTTGAAAGAATCTGGCGATTTAACACCATTACAAAATGTGAAACAATTAGCTAACTCGTTTAGTGAAACAGGTATAAATAATACAGATATAAGCTCTACATTTGTACAAAAGGCAAAATCAGCAGTTAGATGGTCCAATACAATGAAATATGTCGAAGACAGAGTTAACCAAATATTTGCGTCAGTTGATGGAAAAATTAAAGAGCTTTGCCAAGTTGATGATGAAGTAACAGAAATGTCTGTTAACAAATTAATGCATGAGCTTGACTCTAGCATACAAGCAATCTTAACAGGAGAAAGTAGATTTGATTTCAAAAAGACATTTTATATAAAAATCTATGTACATGTTAGTAGACACGTCCATCCAGTGTTCGAAAGTCATAATGACAAGTATTTCAAAACGCATGGCGCTGCAATTCTTCTTGAAAAATATAGAGAACAACAGAAAATAAGTTTTGAATCTCATTTGCGATGCCGCCAATTTGAAGATATAGTCGCAAACCTTTTTGCTAATGTCATACAAAGTTTTGCAGAAGAATGGACATCTCAAAGTATGTCAAACAGAGTAACGGATGAACTACTGTCGCTTCTTCCAGACGTAAAAAATAGAGTTATAATTGAAATATGCAGTGATCTTTTGGAGGAAGGAAACTTTGAAAATTTTGTCAAATACATAGTGGATCCACATATGTATGCCAGTTCATGGATAACTGAAAAGGCAAATCAGTATCTCGATAATCCAAAGTTTCCTGTAATTGCTAGGACTGCATCCTCGTTGCTTAAAAAATTGTTCGGCACTGTCAGTTATTGCGTACAAGAGGTCAAAACAAAATATGATGGGAAATCTCCGCCTTCTATTAAAATGTGGTTAGAATCTTTTCAATTCTTTATGAAATCGTCTGATTGCTGTATTCCATCTGAAAGTTTCCGGAATGTAAGGCAAGAAACATCGTCTAATATACAAAATGTGGAATACTTAACAACTACAATTTTAGATCATTTGAGCAAATCTGAAGAGAAAGTTGCTGCTAAATTCAAATCACAAACGAGTCATTCAATAACATGGGCAAGTTTTAATCCCATATCCCGCATAATTAAGAAAATATGGGGATGCGAAGAACAATGCATATTTTGTGGAGAACCATGTGCAAAGAGTCAGGATCATGGGGACTCTAATCATTATAGTATACAGCATCGCCCTTCATGTTGCAGGGGTATTCGTAACTCTGACACAAAAGAGGCATTTTTAGAATCATGTGAGTTTGATATTCAGTCAAACAAAACACATAAGTGCTCAGTTTTCAATTACATTTGTGATGCCGAAGAAAGAAAAGGATGTGGTATAAACCACTTATACAGGGACTACAAAACGTACCTTCCAAATTGGGACATTGCACCAACGTCTGACATGCATGACTCATCTAAATATTGGATGTGGTTTGTAGCGACATACAAAGATGAACTTAAAAATCATTATGATTATAAAATTGATCATATTCCTTCTTCATGGAGTAGTATTAAAAAATCAGAGGCAAAACAGAGTCTGCATAAAATATACTCTGCTTAACGAAACAAAACTTTTATTATTGCCTACATTAGTTGCTACACTAAGGATGTAATTAGATTAAACAGAAATGTGCTTTAATCAGAAAAAGGATTCCTTGTCCAGAAGCAATGAGTTATTTTAAAAACTTAGTTAACGACATACTTAAACAAAAATATGAAAACAACATTTTTGTCACGTTTATCATAAAAACATCCTTTTTAAAAAGGTAGTAACTATAAATAAAAGAGCGGCAGTAGATTTAATAATCTTTAAGGACTATAAGATTACGTAAACGGATGCAGAAAAAAATTCTGAAAGAAAAATAAATATAAAAATGGCACTGCTGTCCTACTTGCACTAAAGAAAGATTACAGTGTACTTTTTTAGTCTCAAGATGTAGCAAATTTAAATATTTGATCGCAAAAGTGAGCTTCCCTTATAATGCTTACATTAGCCATTGATTTCTAAAACATGCCAAATAGATAACAAACACAAGTCAGTTTTTTTCTTTTGTCAGAGATAAGTTTAAAGTATTTGGCAAAAACAATCTGAACAAATTGTCAACAGTTTTTCATATCAAAGATGCGGGCAGGAATTGAATTAAATAATATTATTAATATGCATCAGCGATTAGGGACAATGCAGATATTTCATCATTGTTAATCGAAGAATATTACAGGAGTCAAAGGCGGATTCCAGGTTCAGAAGCTACAAAGAAAAACGAAATGTCGATTGATATATAAGTTAATATGTCAAACTGAAATGTTACTGTCCAAATATTCATCGTTTCGCAACAAAACTTAACGTACAAAATGGATAAACGTCTGACCAGTGGAATTGCAGTAAAATGATATTGGCGATTACCTTAAATCACTAAAGCGTCACAAGAGTCAAAACCTCATATAATAAAATCAGATATGCTAATGCCAATCACAATGTGCTTCTTTATGGACACTTGCCAAATGGCAGAACCAATATATACACACACTGTTGTTAACAGCATAATCCTGAAATGCATACCGAGCAAAGGGATTATCTTTAATTAAGTGTATGTAAGAGGTAACACTACACTACAATCTTGCATTAACAAGCTTCATTTGGACGGATCGTCAGTAAGTCATGTAACAGGTTTGGTAGGCAGTCATTTAACCGTGCTCTAGAAGTCTGGCACTTGACAATGGAAGTAACTGACAATATCAGACACATACGGTATCTTGCATTTTCTTTGGGAATGGGAGGTTAGAGAAACACTCTTTAAATACCTAGTAAGAAATTATGTAAAATAGATCTTTTTACTTAAGGTTTAATATGCATTTTCAAATAACGTTCAAAGCTGCATCTTTACACCATGACAATTTAACGTAAAGGTTGTTGTTTTTGTTGTGCGTTTTTTTATATATAATTTGCTGTTTTTGCTGTTTTTGTTAAATGTGTGAGGTGTAGGTGAGTGTTCGTGCGGTTTGATTTAATATGATATTTATGACTTAATAACGTAAGGTAATTTTATGACATAATCGCGTTGTTTATATTATGTGTAACATGTTGATGGTTTTGCTTGTAAAAGCCATTATATGTGTATAATATTTTTACATGTATAGTATATATGTATATCACATATGTTTTGTTGGTAACAGGACAAAAAATATGTCAACGAAGGTACTGTTACTGATACATTAGTTTCATGCCATTTCACATTTTGTCCTGTTACATAACATGTAATAGGTAAGTCTGAACTATCAAATGAAACAAATGCAATTGTACCTCAAGCATTTCAGCATGACATTACATACTTTTCTAAATTATTTTGGTTATGAAGAAATATCTAACATTTACTTATAATGAATATAAATTTGCTTTTCTAGAATAAAATAATTATCATTTCTATCATCAGAAATATTTAAACAATAGTCATAATGTTTTTGTGAACTTCATTTATAAAATTGTAAGACTACTATGACTTGTAATACTATAATGTGTATTTATATACACAAACTTATTATAAGTAATTGTTATGATTAATTGATGCACATAAATTAATAGGTACTTTGCTTAATAAGCTTTGATAACTTCCTGTTAAATTTTTACATGCTGTAAATAATTATTTTTTTATGCAAAATTATGATGATGAATAAATTGTGAAACTAATTGTTCAGGTATATAGATATAAGCAATCAGATTTGGTAAATATGTTGAATACTTTGAAAGAAGTGTCTCTTTTATAATTCTCCGAAATTATGTTTTACTACATTAATATGGTGGGCGGATAAAGCAACAAATGAGTAAAATAATGTAAAGCAAAAACAATTCAAAGTGATTGTAAATCTTCGAATTTTACATATGTATGAACATTTTGAAAATATATTAAAAAAATTATTAAACAAGGAAATGAAGAAACTATTTGACACTTACAATCCACTTAGATTACCAAATTGAGGTCAACATATGCAAAAAAAGCTTCTATTGCGTTAGTGACGCAGCAGAAATTTAGCGAAACATTATCTGCAAAATCAGTCATAAATCCACTTGATATGTAATTGATTACACGAAACTTTACTAATTGTATTACTCTTAAAATCTTAGTTCATTTTCCTAATTTTTCAACGGCTCATCAAGAGGCTTGCAGTTTATATAGTTTGATATCGAAGATTCCTATTGCAATGATTTCTCATAGGACCACTGAACATTTGATAAACTTAGATGACCACACATAGGTATCAAGGCCTGCCAAAGCATTATGAAAGGGTAGATTACATGTAGCACCGTTTAACGTTTACTAATTATAATAATTTTTTTATCTTGACCTGAATGATAAGTAGTTATAAGGATATACGAACTTTCATTTGAATTTCATGTTATTTAATTTATTCCTAAATTGTCTTGATTTAATATTTCTATATTTTTGCAAATGTTTTATTTATAATGGTGTGTAAAGTTAGGGTTAAGGTCTTATGTAATCTTGTTTTATTTTGTTTGAATTCAAAAACATAACAATATTAGATTGCTTATTCCGAAGCATTATCCTGATTAAATTGTTTTATTTTTCTTTGACTTATCCATTGTTCGTCACTTGGTGTAGGGGTATTTTGAGTTTTGAGATACAATTATGAGCATATATTTTAGAAAGTTAGACATTTGTATTTAATCATATTTTCTTTATTATGCAGTAGATATAATTAAAATATATATTATAGTCACCTTTTGATAAATAATTTATTACAAAAATATTTTAAAATCTAGGAAATCCTCACTAAAATTTTTAAATATGCTATGTTATCATAATGTGTGTACCTGTGGTTTGCAGAATTAGAACTCTGCTTACTTGTGTGTTTGTGCGTGTGCGTGTGTGCTCGCACGTGCGTGTGTGCGTGCATGTGTTTGTGTGTGTGAATTTTGTTCTTTTAGAAATTCATATCTTGAAGTATACTACTAGTATAAAGTATTTAAAGCTTGTTAGTAAATATTTCTGTATGTTAATCGGAACAGAATTTTGGAAAGACAGAACATAAAAATAATCACTTTGTGTGTTATTGTGTTTGCAAATATAATAATTTATGATTTTTGAAATATTTGGTTCATGTTTTCAAATCAAAATAACGATACAATAGAAACATAATGTCATTCAATCGACTACATCAAACAATATATTAAGATTTCATCTATTTATAAAGAAACATTTAAGACTTTAAATCAACGAATGAATAACAGCTTCCCTAGTTTACAACCAGATTTAACGATTTAACATGTGTTGTCATATGTTTTTGAAAATAAAATGTGTGTGTGTATTAAGAAAATTGTTGTTTTTCCATCCTACTGTTTCACTTTCTGTATTGTTCAGTTATGTTCACTGAAAAATACGTTATTGATCACGGCTGTACTTTACAAGAGCTAATGCGCTAAAGGCAGCAGTTGCCTGGACGTAAAGAAGCTTTTTTTCACCCACAAATTACTATTTGTGAAGGCTATGTTTTCTCATATGAAATAAGTGTAAGTTCAAGGAAGTTAACTCTTGATGAGTTCAAATACCACAACCGAGCATAAATAGATACTTTTCAAACTATCACTTTAAACTCTTCTTATTACTAGTTCCTCCTTAATTTGAAAAAAAATGTTGCATTTTCTATCTTTTATTGGAAAGATTAAATTCCGATTCTATTCAGACGAACACGTATTATCATGATAATTAAATGATTTCTTGTGTAATGCCATTTTCTACGACGCTATGTTCATCTATTTCTCGTTTTTAAGAACATTGAAATTGCAATGCCCTTATGGAAACAGTTTCTGCCTTCTTTACAGTACTAATTATTATCAATTGCCTGTATTTAAAGTCCATTTGTTTTGGCATACATTGTATTGAAAAGAATACTTTGTAATCGGAACCATAAGAAACCGGGTTTCTCGGAATACCTAAAAGTCTTGATATTCTGCCAATAAATATAAAATATAGTCAATAAAAAAAATAATAATTTATAAGGGTACAACATCTGCTAAAATATCCGAATATAGAATTAAGGTATATGGTGAAATCGTATTGCCTCTTGTACAATTTTGTTTAATTTGAAAGAATTTGGCTAATGAAAAACATTAATTTAACATTAAAACAGATAAATATCTAAATGATGGCTATGATAACAATGATGATAATTATTTGATTTTGATCACGGTGATGGTGCGGATGATGATGATTATAATGATGATTAACTGCTAACAATAACTTGATGATGGGGTTCTGATGATGATGATGTCGTTGTAATGATGACAAAAATATGAGTGATGATGAAGGAGTAACAATTGTTATAAACTGATTATGACGATGATGTTGATGACGACGACGACGACATTGATGATGATGATGATGATGATGATGATGATGATGACGATAACTATGATGATGATTGTGATGATGATTGTGATGATAATAATGATGATGATGGTGATGATAATAATGAGAATGTTACAATAAATGTAATATTAAAATGAACCTGTGAAAAATGCATAATAACAAAATTTATACGAGTAGA